GATAGATTTTTACTACCAGCCGATCGAGCCCAAATGCAGCCCATACATCGTAATGAAATTTTATTTGAAATGTGTTTCACAATTTCAAATAAAAAATTTGTAACTATGACCCTTCTATGTGATTTTCATGAACTTAAGTCAGCCTTACAGTCTGCTCTTTTTTAAATAATTGTGGGTGGAATTCATATTTTTATATAACTATGTAAATATATAAATCGAAATATGTAAACCTTACCACGACTTAGCACCAAGTTAAGTACATAAATATATTATATTTTCAGGATCAGTATCAATGGACGAGTCGATTTAGCCATGTTTAACTGAATTTCTGTTTATCTATAAACAAAATTGTTTAAGCATTTCGCCCCGTTAAATATTTCGATATTCGAGCGTTTGTTGAAATTCGAAACTCACCTGCAATGTGCATAAGATCAAAGTTGCATTTTACAAAGTGAATGATATTTAGGGTGTTGCGTTGGAGCAACTTTTTATGATAATTTCGCTGAGTTAAAAGCTCCACTGGAGCAAGGACGACAGGGTGGAAAAGGAAAGGGCTTTGCGAAAACTAAAGGATGCCCAAGAGCAGGCCAGGCCGAAATGTGAAAGAAAGACAAAGCACAAAATTAAGGGACATGAGAACATGACATGATATGTCAAACAGATGCAAAAGCGACTTAATAAATGAATTATTTAGGTCAAGCAATTTATAAACGATTTCAGGTAGTATGCGATATATAAATAGTATAGAAAGAAATTATTAACAGCATAAATCATTAAGACGGTTTCCTTATATTCAAACCAATATTTATTGGACTTTGAAACAACAAATTTGTAGCCTAGATTTAAAAAAAAATTGCAGTAAAATAAAGAAAAAGATTTTCATTAAAGAAAATGTATAGTTAATATTATAAATTAGATTAAAGTTATCATAACAAGATTATAGTTATTACAATTATATTATAGTTTTTCTAATTCGATTATAGGTGCAAAATATTAAGCTTTAAATAATAATATTATTATCAGCATGTGATATAGTTATCGACCTACTTTTTTTAAGGAGTTCTAACAGATCTTGGCAATTGAACTAAGTTTCGAAAAAAACATAACAAAAATTCTCTAATTGATATGCAATACACCGTTTGCATTTGAGTTTGTCACTTGGCTGCTTGAATGGGGATTTGGTCAAAAGCTTGATGACACTTTCGAAATATGCAGTTGACAAGCCTGGAGAGGTTTTTAAATACATAATAGCTGATTTTAATGGGCCTGCGCCTGGATTTGGCAGCCGCTTTCGAATGATTTAGTCAAAAAATAAAAATTGTTCTCATTTTTCAGGCACTCGAATGTGCCATAAACATTTCAAAACCCCGAAAAATTAACAAAAACCAACAAAAATGCGACAAGTGCCCGTTATACGCCATGAAAAACAGCAACGACAGCAACAATATCAACAACAACAACAACAACAACAACAACAACAAGAGATAGAGCAAAAGAGACAAACAATGAGAGCCTGTATTAAATTACATTTTGTGGTAACAGCCAAAAGCAAAAGAGCAACAGAACGAAAACTACTTGCAAACCAAATGTAATGCTAAAAGCGCCATATGTATGTCTCTATGACTGTATGTGTGTGTCTGTAGGCGTGTGTGTGCGTGTGAAATGGCGGCGCTGAAAAGTATGCAATAAAAAGGCTAAAGGCAGCCGCTGTACCATGGGATATATGAACACATTTTGGCGCATATAGTTTTTTTTTTATAAATAATTTAAAGAAATCTTCAAAACATATCAATGCATTGGACATATTGAAATCTGTCATTTATATTTTTGGTGGGTATTATAATTTTATCATGAAATGTCTAACCCAAATTAAACGTAATGAAGTATATATAGTATTAACAGCCGAGTCGATATAGCTCTTAATTTTGAAGCTATGGTTATGACATTTTCGATAGGTCGGATCGGAACACTTTGTATCTCACATAGCTGTGTTAGAAACGGTCGAAAATTAGGTGCTTGTTTTAAAACGCTTACATTCACAATGCTTTTTATACATGTGCAAACTCTTATAAGCATCGAAATACTTTATTGTGTAAAATAAGCTTTTGTGTGAAAGGCTTTTCTGTTGGTTCAAAATATCTATCGGCAATTATGAGCTTGACAAGTCTCCTCACATATTAGAAAAATCGTGACTCAAATGAAGTTTTGAAGTTTGTCAAAAAAAAAAAATCATTTTATATTGTGACTAATTTAACCAAAGAGTGTGTAACTACAGATCAAAAAGCTTTAGCTTTAAATCACATTTAAGAAACCTCTGAGAAACCAATTTGTATAACAAAGAAAAATTTTGATATACAATTACATAGTATTTACATACAGATGTCCAGATATTCAAAACTAACACTGGTGTAAATTATAAAATAAAAAGAAAGAAAACAAAAATTATATCCGATTGTATAAAACTGGCAAAATCTATCATTTGCCATTGCAAATTCAGAGTTTGTTTAGCATTTTTGCCAGAGATCTGTCGATTTGCCCCATAGTGAAATATAAGAACTGATGGGGCAATGTTGTTGCTGTTGTCACTTTATAATCCCAAAAGCAACAGCAACGATAATAGCCATATAAAGCCAGCGGCGAGCCTCAAAAATGCCGCAAATATGAATTGTGAATACCATATGCATAAAAAATACGGCAAATATGCACAATATTCGTACATGTACTTAAATGTATGCTTTATGTTTTACAATTAATCCCACCTCTGCAAGTATAGGTATCTATATCATGATATCTGTCTTAATTTAAGACCCTCTTGAAGGTGTCTTAAGTTTTTGCAAAAAATTTGAAGAACCTTAAAGAAAACGCTATTAAAATCGCATAGAAAGGCGATAGATAGATATCTTACTATGAAAATATGTTACTAAACGTTATATAAAAATCATGAATATCGCATAGAAGGTCGATATAGAAGTTCTCATTCAAAAAGTGTTAATAATATATTTTTACTAATTTATTTGGATGTTAAGGCTGGCCACAGGCGTGGCCAGGACTTATGTTGAGAGCAACTTGATATCTGAAAAGCTACAGAATTACAAGAAAACAATTTTTAACTTTTCGGCCATCGTAAATCAAAACTTACAACATCGGCAAAGAGAAGCGGCATGTGCCAAGTTGGAGACTATAAAAAAAACGCTACTGCGATTTCGCCTTGGCCAGACATTTACTTCGACATTCGCACGCTTGCGTTTACCTCCGCACACACACACGTGTTTGTTTTTATTTATTTTTATTTTTTTTTGTGTTGGGGCATAAAAAATGTTTGCAATTTTTAAGTCCATGTTGTCCGACACGTATGTAGCTGCATGCAACCCAGAACAAGTTTTACAATTTTCGCCCAGCTACAAAATTGAAAGCGCAAAAAAACAAGTAAAGTTGCGATAAATGAGACTGCTCAGCTAGGAGATGCCCTATACTCTGGTCGACTCTGTTGTTAAGCTTTGAGGATTGATTAATTACCCTGCCGAAACATATTAATTGAGATTGTGAGATATACAAGAACCTTCACAGCACATTCCCATTTGCTGGTTCCTTATATTATTTTATACATTTTGCGCTTTCTCTTTCCATATTCAGAACATCGATAATTACCGATTTTGAGACATGGTTATTTTAGGAAAATTCGAAGAATATTTTACTTTTTAGATACCGCCCTTAACTCATTCGATAAACATCGAAGTTATTTAATAATGCATTTCCCATACATAGTGTTGGGCAAAATTAAGAAAAAGCGCAACCGCTGCATAAAAAAAGCAGCTTGTACTTTTGAGTAGACTCGAATCTTCGTTACGGCAGCTGGACGCTAAGTTTAGGTAAGGTATCTCCCATTCGGGCACTCCCGACTAGAGCACTCCTTACTTGTTTTAATAGGTATCGGAGTGTTGAATAGAGTTGCAAGTTTCCGACAAAAATTTGCACCAGCCTCATGCGAGTCTATTGCCGGTAATCAACTTAAGGCCAGCTGCTGATGCAGAACGTGGTTATCTATTCTGCATTGACAGCCTTGCGTCTGGAATAAGTTACACAGAATCGTAAACATGAGAATTTGCATGCTCCATGTACATGAAATGTTAACTGAATAACTCTACGGCGTACTTTTTTTTATTCAATTCCAACGTGGATAGCAGCAAATGGAATTGGCCCCAAATAAGATTTGGTCTGTGTGTGCCAGAAGAGTCAACTTAACTTTCTCATAAACAACTGACAAGTTCAGGTATTTAACTTTACACTGCAATTCTTTCTGTGCACAGAATTGAATTAAATTTTAGGAAAACAAAACTAATGTCTTCTTTTCTTCTATGTCAGAGCTCAATTAAAGAGAAAAACAATATACTAAACTAACAAAAAAGAAGGTAAAGTTAGTCTTCAGATACAGAAATAAATAATTCTCAATTCAAGCTTCTTTTCGCATCACTTCTTGTTGTTAAATCTTATAAAATTGTTTCTTTTTTTTACCACCAAACCACCAAAAAACTACACTTCATTTGCATTTAATTAATAAATATGTAATGTATTTTTATGTATTTAATTTAATGTCACTTTTTGCCGAGTTACAATTTAAATTTGTTATTCCTTTTTTGCATTATATTGTGTTTATTTTCTTTTAAATGGCAAAATAAGCTGCGCTTCACCTGAATGGCATTCAGACCGATTTCGAAATATTTATGTTGATGGACACAAATTGTGGGGTTTGTTTTTTGATCTGGTGTAAATAAATAAATAGTATTAGAGATAGTATACACTGTGATAGTTAATTAGTTTAGGCGTATAGCAATAGAGTTTTACAATAACGTGTCTTGTATACATGAGCTATTTGTTAATTGTATCTATAAATTTAATATTTAACTTGCTTGCTCGCCGCTGGCTGTGTGTGTTTGCAAAAATAATGCCATTGCGAACCACAAAGTTATAAATTTATACATATATACTTGTATACATATGAACTTGTGATTACCTGCACTATTAGCAATATTTGAAATATTCTCATTTGTCCTTCGATTTGTATTAATTAATAATTATGTGCATACATAATTGTATGCCGGCTTCATTTGTTATAATACTTAAATACGTTGCGTTTAACTCTCCCATCTGGTGCTGTTTTGTCAATTATAGCAAAAATAAGCTCTCTTTAATATATGTATGTTATGTTTTGTTATCTATTTGTTTAGCTTAACAGAAATTATTCAATGCACATTTTATTGTTCTTCATTATACTCTTTGCTTTTAATTTTTTAAAAAATTTTGTATTGTAGTTGCTTGTTCATTAAATGGCATAAATCGAAAAACATTGCAACTTTCGCATTGCACATTTATTGTATAAGTATACACATTATTTTGACGACGTTTACTTAAATGCATTTCGTTTTGTTTACTGTTTACTTTTAACAGACATCACTTAAACTATAATAAGTATTTGACATTCATTTAAATACAGTACAATAATGCGTTTACAATTTTAACTATACATACATATATATAAATTTATCAAAAAAAATTAAGAAACAATTCAACGAAATCTCATCGCATCTTAATCGTAAAACGAATATTTGATTTTTGGCATAACTGCAAATTATAAATGTAGTTAATAAAATTAATTTTAAATAATATACTCATATATCATAAATTATTGCTGTCTGTCTAACGCGTTGGCAACTGAAATTAAATTCTTTTAGAGTATTGCCTCCATATCCCTATATCAGCTACTCTCACTCACTCTCACTCACACTCCACACATACCATGGCTCTCTTTCTCTCTCTGTCTCTATCTTTCTCTTGCTGCATCTCGCTCTAGATGTAAATGTTCAAAAATTGCAAAATTAAATACACTTAAAATTCCAGTATTTGATTTTGTATTTGACAATTTTCACCAAAAGTCTGCTGCACACTCGCACCCACTTTCACCCACGCACACACACATGTACGCAGAACATAAAATTCAGTCTTTTTCATGTACATAGAGAAAATAAACAATTGAACAAAAGTAAATAAAGCAAAGCTGAAGTAAGTACGCTCTATTCTGTGAGTGCTTAGTTCAATTAGATATATATATGAGTAGTTCCTTTTTCCTTTTTCGTAATTTCATAAAGTTCCATTTGTTTGAGTGTATTTTGCTTGTCTAAATAAAAGTCCTTCATTTGTATAATATAATCCAGGTATGCTGGGGCTGGATAAACAACAGACATACGAATTTTCTTAGTGTGTGTGTGTGTGTGCTGAGAGGTGCATGAGCATATTTATGTAACACTTTAATTAGATATAAATTGGCGTCTCCTGGCCGGTTAGCAAACGGAACATGGACGTGGGCATGGTTTTCATCAAAATCTGTAAGCGAATTAAAAGTTTTTAGCTTCTGCTTTATGTGAAATAATATGAGAGTGCAAATGGCGTACCTCGCCCACAGATGAGGATAGCAGCTTGACAATCGTATCGTGTGGCACAGCCACCACACTCTGGTTGTTAATCTCAATGATGCGATGGCCAACCCGCACTCCGCCGCGCTCTGCAATGCCGCCACGCAGCAGGCTGCAAATCTGTAAAGCAAGCGGAATACATATGATATTATTTATGACTTTTTATTTTGCTACATTGGGCCAAGCTATTTCTTCAAATTTAGACATCACTTTTCTACACATTTCATGAAATAAAACATATTATTAAAAAAGTTGACTGTCGTCCATGTAGCCCTTAGATACCCAGGAAAGCGTGGGTGTATTTTGCGAAACGTGTGAAATATGACTCATCATAATTTTCATAAATATCTTTGGGCAGTTTCAGCTGCATTGTATGTTAAATACAAGTTTGCTTCAATACTTTTTCACAAGTCCACAGATGCGGGTGGATTATCTAAAATCACTCAAAAACGTTGTCATTAAGTTATTCAGTAGAGCTTTGATTGCTCAGTTAGTAGTCGATCGAACGAATATAGATAATATGCCCAAAATAACTTTGACACCAATTTTCAACTCAAGGCTCAATTTTCCAATAAGTGTGAAACACGTCCCAAATGAGTTTGAGAAAATATCTGTAGAAAGTGTTTCACCCAATCTTTTACACCAATTTTCGACATTTGTAGGTGGGATTTTTCGGTAGCTCCTGCGGCTCAGTCAGTTGGGACAAAACGTTTTCTATACTTAAATAAATTATGTTATTATTGAACTATTTAAACATACCACGCCGTTTTGTACGCTGAATCCCAGCTGAAAGAGCGCCTTGGGACGCAGGATCTTAACCTCAACGACAGGAGGACAGGGCACAACGGTAAACTTGACGGCAGTTTGATTTTTGGCATTGCGTATATAGTTCTGGCAGGTGGATAGCGGCAAGCCGACAAGGCTCATGCCATTGATGGCTATAAGCTGATCGCCAATGTTTAATTGGCCACAGCGTGCGGCTGCGCCGCCAGACATCAGGTTGGCAATAACCACCGTCGGCAGCATGGAGCCCCAGCCGCTCTCAACGATAACAACACCAAGAATTTCACCCTTGGCCTTGGGCACGACAACTTCCTTTTGCAGCTCTTTCTTTGCAAATATCTCGAGCTCATCGCCAAATATCTCCTGGCTGTTAAGCACCTCCTGATAGTCCATTTCCTTAGCCAGATTCTCGTTCTCAATGCCGTTGGCTTTTAAGAACTCCATGTAGGCCACCTGAAAGGCCTGACCAATGGACTGTGCTATAAACTGCGCCTCGTCACTCTCAAATACATGACATATCATTTTGGGTGTGCGATTGTGTTTGTTGGATGAGCCTCCGCTCTCCTTGTTGCTGCTGCTGTTGTTCTCCTTAAAGGGCTCGCCCTCGATGGTATCGGCAGGGCTCGGAGTGGACAGCGAATCAACGACTACGCCGCCACCATTGGGTATGAAGCGTCGACGCGCCATTAGCACCACCAGATCACCAATATCGGCTATATAGGAGATGGTACGCAGGGCATGATCCATCATGATTTCCTTGAGGTCCGTATTTAGCACCATTATCTTCTCGGTTGATATGAACAGATCCACCTCGGTGCTTGGCTGACTTTCGCCTTCTGGCGCCTGACAACAAAGAAGCACAAAAAGCCAATAAGTTTACCTCTGTCTACACGCAAGTTGTGGGTTTTAGGTGTTTATTTTGTGTTTGTTGCTTACCAAAGCCTAAATATATCGAGGAGTGAGCAGCATGGGTTTTTTTTTTTGTTGTTTTATTAAGGGCATGGGCGAGAAAAGCAAGACGCATTATAGACAAAGAGCAACAATTTACCGAGCATATTCTAAATGGAGTGCAACTGCATGTATTGACACTGATCTGGAGGTACACACCTTTATGCGAGATACGGCCTCCTCGGCCTGCATCATGCGCGTCGACTTGGTCGGCTGACCCTCGCACACCAGCTGCGTAGAACCGAGATAGCGGGCGCGAAAAAGAACGCCCTCAATTAGCACTTTGGGTTCCAAGAAACCTAAGCAAGGTTAACAAAGAAAAATCATTTAGTTTTGGGCATGTTTAGTATAATTAAATGAACTGGATTAAAATATGGAGCATGCGAATAAATAAAAGCGGGTTCAGTTTAATTTGCGTAGCTATTTTGAACAAAGTGCACTTAACTTAATTTCATAAACTGATGTTGACAAAAGAGAACTGCATAGCACAAGATTAAGACAGTGATTTTAAACGATTTGGCATGAAGACAAGCCCAATATGAGAGAATAGTTATAATAGACCAGCCAAAGATTATAATTCCTGCAGATATGCATAATATACAATTCTAACCGAGCTTACAGCGAATCGTTTCTAAAGTAGCTAAATAAAATATCCGTTCGCTTTTTTCGGTCACATATGACTAATACTTAAAGCTTTCTGCATTGCGACCTTCTTGGTTTATTTTGCTGTCACTCTATCTATGAGTTTAACTCTTGATCAAGTGTACCTTTTACAGAACTACGCGGATTATCCCATGTCCAAAAGACCTCAATTGTAATATGTTTATTAATAAAATCTCCATAAAGCTCAGATCGGGCTGCGACGTTTGCTCTGAAGGCAGAAAAGGGAATCTATTCCATATACTATGATATGAAGAAAGCTTCCAAACTGGGAGAACACACGTACATTGCTATATCGACTCAACCCGTCGTCTTGATTAGAAACATATATATATATATGTATATATATCATTTAAAAGACTGGACGTGTATCTCCCAAGGGCTTACGCATTTAAAGACAAGCATTTAATAAGAATAGAGTGACAATGAATGCTAAGAAATAAGTTATAAACGAACTATATGTTTTAGCTGATATGTCGATCGGACTAAACAAAAATAAGTTATGTTTCATAAGAGTTTCTCTATTTTGTTTATAGAAACTGGCGATCTTTTATCAAAATGTATTTTATTTTTATTTAGACTATTTTCCTAAGCAATCTTATCTCTCAGTTTTAAAGCTATCAACAATATTTGGTACGTTTTGCTGTTGAAGGCAGCACATCCATCAAGCATCTATATCATATAGTTGTCATAGCAATTATGTGTAAAAACCTGTTTGTTCATCAAGATACCCTGACCAAACACAGCATTTACGAATTTCAGTTTCATGTGTCTACATCGTATTTAATCCTTGGCGTGTCGAAAGTAGCAAATCTCTTGTTTTTTAATTTTTATATATTTTTATGATTTACAAAATCAATCTATGGCGCGAGTAGACTTAGTAATCCTTATCCTTGCCAAATCTTTTTGACAGGCCCAACAGTTCTCTTATGATAATAATATACATTTTCTATAACTTGGCAAACTACATTAACTTAGGCTAGGAAAGGGAGACAGATAGATAGAAGACAACGAGAGAGCACGTCCACTTACATGGCAGGCATTACACCATCAAACACATAAATGAAAATTTCAATATGCAGCAGAAATATGTGAAAGTCAAAATTTGATTGAGAAGAGAACACAGAACGAAATGGATTGATCATTGATCGCTTTTTTTTTTCTTTTTTTTTTTTTGATGGGGGCGTTTTAAAACGCACAACCACACAACGTACACAAATACATATAGACATACACACACGCACATACATACACTACGTACCCTCTTTGTTCCGTGAATGGGTTTTCTTATCGCTGATGGTCGTCTCCTTGAGCGATTTGATGGAGCCCGTTGGACTCTTTGTATATTGCAGCTTCTCCGGCGAACTTATCGATACATCCGCATTGCCCACAATCTGGCAAATGTCCGGTGAGTTGGGCGTCAACGAGGTGCCAATGCCCTGCCGTATGGTGGCCGACGAATAGGTTTGCGGCTTGGGATTGCTGTTGTTGTTGTCGCTGATGATTGCGCTGCCGCCGTTGTTATTGACCAGGCCGTTAGCATTGCTGTCGGCGGCGCCCGCAAGTGCCGTTGTCTACAAATTACGAAATAAAATTGGCCAATGAATTTTACTGAGAATGTTTATAAGCCTGTTCGGCTTATGTTCGCATACCTGTTCGGCAAAGAAATCCTGCTGTCCCAGCAGCCGATCCGTTTCCAGATCCGTGTCGGCTTCCTCCTCTTCGTGCCGTGTGGCAGCCGTTGCCGTCGTTGTTGCACTTTTGCGTGGCACCCAAACCGGCGAATCTGGATCCACGGGCAGCACTTCGTCGCAAAACTTTAGCTTGTCCGGCTGTGTTTTGGCGCGCTGCAATGCCGAGCGTATCTCTTTCATTGCCTCTTGTATCTCGACTGGTGCTGCAGCTGCTGCAGCTGGCTTGCTGCTGGCTGTCACTGCCATGGCAGCCGCATAAACTGGGCTGTAGTGTGTTTCTGCGGGACTGTCGCTATCAGCATTATTGCCAGCGCTCAGCTCGGTCTCGGCTGTTGGCTCCGGTTCCGGCTCTTCGCACGGCACTGGCGAGGGCGTGACCGTTGGCGTTGCCGGCAGCGGCGAGGGCGTGTTCACAATGTCACTCGGCAGCGTGGCATCTATAGCTGTTACTGTTGCTATGGCTGTGGTGCCGTTGTACTCGTTCTGCAACCGCTCGTTGTCGCTGTTGCCATTGTGCTCGTGCTCATGATTAATTTGCGGAGGCTGCTGCTGCGACTGAAGCTGCGTTTGAGGTTGCTGTGGCTGTGCCTGTGACTGAGACTGTTGCTTGTCGCAGACGACGGATACATTGTTTTCCGTATCGGAGGCATGGCCACTGCTGAGTCCATCCTCCAGCACCGGCATACTGGTGTAGAGCTTACCATAGTCGGTTGTGGTGCAGTTGATATCATTCGATAGGCTATCCAAATCGCCACAGTTCGAGTCGTAATCTGTTGTCTCCGGCGACAGCGTAAAGTTACGCGAGTGCCGACGCAGATTCGCCTCCAATTCAGTGTCGGCCAGGTCGCCGCTGCTGCGACTGTTCGAATCGATATACAGCTCGATGTCGTTGTGCTCCTGGTAGGCATTGTGCTCGTTTGACTGTGAACGAAAATTCATTAGCACAAGCAATAAAATCCACAACAATATTGTTAAGCGTGCCCGACAGCGAGATACCCTATGTTCTGGCCTCAAGTAACCTAACACACATTCGTATTTACCTATCATATGCGTTCTCATAAAGGAGGTTTCGGGTATCAAAAGCACAGAAATTTACCTCAGTTGACTTTAAAAAAGTGTTAAAGGATATTGTTTGAGATAGTAAAAATCACCAGAAAGGCAACGATGAAACATCGACCGCGAGAGCAGGCCCAGTTTTATTTTGCTTACTAAAACGAAACATTTAAAGTAACCATTTTGTGAACATAATAAACCATACGAATCTGTGATATTATGAAAATCGCACAGAGACCATTACGGAAAGGGTGAGTCATATTAAGAGAGAGTGTGAAGGAGGAGAAGTAAGGAAGCGACATAAATTGAAAGAATAATAAATACATAAGCCTTACGTGATAACTTGATAATCGGGTAGAAGGGCGCTTTCTGAAGAGTGTTATCTGTAAATTTTCTACTTGAACAGACCGTCAGACAAACGCATGAACTGATGGAATATCGCAAAGACTATCATCGTCATTGAACTCACATGATAATTGGAAGATATGACACATTCTTTCAACTCAATATAGATATCTATAGTATGTTTCAGTGGGCGCAATAGCATACTCTATATTCTTGGGCATATTTCTTCCATAATTTTAAAATATATATAAGCATATTATATATATAAATAGAGGGACACCGACTGGTATTTTAATAAATGTGGACGACTGACTCACCTGCATCCTGGGCGAGCGATGTACCATGTACAGCTCGTCTTTGGGTATTCTAGCTAGACGCTGGCCAATGTAAGCCTGCTCGATATGTTTATCCACATCGCACACGCGCGGCTGCATGTCCTGCGGGCAAAATAAAAATAAAAATTTATTTCCAGCTTAAGAAAATTTTTTTTTAAAAACTCACCGAACTGGCCACATCGTCGCCACTTTCCGTTGTATAGTCTGTAAACCGCTTCTCGTCGTCCTCGGGATTCCCTTTGAAGAACTCCTCGAGCACTTTGCGAGTCTCAGAGAACTCGTACAGATAGTCAAAAGTGGGCGTCTTAGAGTTTGCCGTTGTTGTGGCCGTACCCTCATGATCGAGCAAATCAATCAGATTGCCAACGGATGCCTTTACGTTATTATCCATGCGCTGCTTGACAGGTGAGACACGCTGCGGAAAGCCAGGCGGTCGCTTTGGAATGCCAGCGCCCTTGGCGGACGCTTGCTGATTGCCAAAACGACGCGGCGAGCCCTCATATTCGGCTATGGGCAATTGGCCAATCATTTTGGTAACCTTCAGCACATCCTCGTTGCTGCCTCTTTCTGGGGCCAGTGGCGCTGATTTGTTTATCCAGTTGGTGTCGATGTCATCAAACACAACAATCTCACCGTCCCGCAAACACTGGCCATCGGCTTTGCCCACATCCGTTGGCGAGCCGGGACTCGCTATGCCCTATGGGGGTAAGCAAAAATGGATACAGTTGTGCAAAGCTTTAAAATGCTGTCAAGAGTTACCTCCGTTACCTCAAACTGGCTGCTGCCCGGACTGCGGCCCACACGTATCTGATGTGGATGCGGCCGCTGATAATAGTATGCCGACTGCTGTTGTTGCTGCTGTGTCCCCAGGTATCCTCCAGGCATCTGATTAGACGGGGACACCTGCTCAAATGCCGGATAATGATGCATGGGCGCATACTGAAGCTCAGCATTCAGATCCGGTGAGTTCAGCACGGTGCTGGCTGGCGTCACGTTCGGGCTACGTGTGCGCATCTCCCAAACGTAGCGCTCTTGTGAAGCTGGCTTGTAAGCAGCGCTAAAGTTCATGTGCAGCTCCGTATGAACGCCAGCCACATGATTCACATTTGGCTCCACGGATTCGTTGCTGCTGTCGCTGCACGAGTTCATCGCGAACGCTGCTAGTTAACTGAAGTTGACAGCGCTTTGTGGCGCTTGAGTTAAGGCTACCTTTCAGCAGCCAGTGGTAATCTCAACTGCTGATGGCATGCTACGCTTGGAGTCAGTTGCCTGGAAAATATAAAACAGGTCGGAGATTAGCATATAAAATTATATGTGCACACCTCTCTCTGTGTTTTGATGATCTAATACTATAAACATTCTGAATCACTGCAAATGCAGAGGCCCAGCTGATGCAATTGTTGTTGTTATTGCTTTTTGTTAGGCGCTTGGAGTTGTGCACAAAAATCAATGCACAAATTGGCTGCACTTTGATGTTTGTCAGAAGTGTTGCCCATTCAGCTATTTTCCGGCTAAATGTGTCTATTTTCCGAGGTCATTAGTCAGAAAAATGATGACATTTTACTGATTTAGCTATTTTTGGCGTCTCAATGACAAGCAGTTGCAGCCAATTTGCGGTTAGAAAGCTTATTCAGCTATTTTTAGCTATTATGAGCATTGAATACAGCTACTTTTAAAGGCGGCAGTTGACAACACTGTTTGTGCGCATCAAATTACACACGTATGAGCGTACTTATGCAGCTCAGTGTGTGTGTGTGTGTGATTGTTTGTGGGTTTGCGCACGTAAACTTGGCCTCCAAAAATTGTTCGTGCAGCCGACAGGATGCTGCAGCAGAAACAAAGGCGTTAGAGTCTGCGTATGTATGAGTCGATGTAACTACAGTGTGCGCTCGCTATAAATAACACATTAGCAAAAACGGTGACACATTCGTTGCTTTTATACTGAGCCAGGTGACCACGATGTGGTTCATTTCGTTTTGGAACCCATTTCTTGTTTTTCTTGCACTTTGTTGTATTGTTGTACACGCATCGCAAATATGTAAGAGAATACGTTATGGGCTCGTGGCGAACCTGGGTGTGCTTATATCCTTAAACTGACTGTTGTCTATAGCAAATATTTACTGTACAGCCGTCCTCAAATAGTCAAAGGACGCAGCAGGCCGCCGGGTGTTTTGTTTTTGGGTAAAACTGGCGCCCCCCGCGATTGCAATGCGAGCATCTGTCACCATCTTCTACTTATGTATCTTCTGGGGCGCAGAAATGGCGAATTAGATGACACCAAAAAAGCGCTATGTACATGCAAATGTGTGAGTGCGTGCGTGCGCGTGTGTTGCTCCACCAAAGTGTGTATTTGTGTGTGTGTGCGTGGTATTGGCATGGAGTATTGTTAAAAATCAATATATTTGGCAAGGTTTTGCGTGGACGACGTTATCCGCACTGCTCACAGCAACAACACTTAACCTGCCCGCCAGCAAAAGCAGCAGCAGCAACAACAACAACAACGGGCAGCATAACAATGCGTATTTTCTATATTTTTGGATGGCGTTTAGCCCGTCGACACGCAATAAATGTGTTTCATCACGATTTTTGCACATAACAACTATTTCCATCACACATGTATTCTGGAAACACTCATGAATTTTAAATGCTTAACATGGAAATTTACCATTTAATTCATTTTATTCACTTTCTTCGTGCTGGTAAATGCATTTACAACTCGATAAAAAAACCAAGAAGCCGTTAGTGGTGGACAGCCACACCGATTAATTTGTACAGAGTCAATGTCTACGAACAGACTTATCGAAGTTGCGATGCGATGTATCGGTATTCTATGTGATTAGGCATACGATGTTCGATAACGAACGCCGTCAGTTACAGAAGAAAACACACTACCAAACGAATCGGACGTACCGCGGATCGTGACCGTTGCGCGCGTTTAAAGTGTGTGTGGTTATTTTTTGTTGTTGTTTTACGTGCAATTCGACGCGCGCGCATATTTGTAAAATTGTTTGTTGTTTAACAAATATGCAATAAACAAAAGTGAGTTAAACTGAAGCGCTTTTGCCAATGTGTCAAAACTAAATTTGTTTGCTCATTAACTTCTGCCCAAAAATTCCATAAAAACACTTGTGTGGATGTAAGCCGCCTTTTGAATTGAGCCAGTGTCTAACTTAATTGGCCTGCGCTGTTGCTATTCAGATACTCAATCCTAGAATACAGATACACATGCCAATGCTGCTGCAGCAGCAGGGTGTGTTCCTGCCTGTGCATGTTTGCCTGAGTGTGTGTGCGTGTGTGCCTGTGTGCTTGTGTGGGTTGTGAACCTGTGCTAAAAATCAATAAAGCACGCTCGTGCAAAAGTCAAACAACAAAGGAACGGTGCGTGTCCTGCTCCTGTTTCCCTTCCACTTGCACAAGTACACATAAACACATGTGCGTGTGAGTTTTCAGGCTCATTTATTTATTTTTTGTTTTGTTTTTTTCTTGTTTGCTTGTGCTTGTGTTGCCAAGAAGGACGCCAACTAAAAGGAAAAAAAAAGAAAAGAGGAGCAACTGGAAAACTTGCCAATTATGCGCGTCGCTTTGTGCAATTGAAATTGCAGGTAATTTCACACATGCTCGTAATTGTTATAAAAAAATTATTGCGCTCAGTGCATCGGCAGCGGCAGCAACAACAACAAGCGTTAAAATAATAAAACACCGTTAAATGCGCGCGCCTACTTAGTCGAGCGTGACCAAAGCACTAAAAACCCGTTGTTGTTTTTGTTGTTGTTGTCGTTGCTGTTGTTGTTCTTGCTGTTGTTGTTATAAGTAGTTCTTGTTGTTGTGGCAGCTGGCAATTGCAAACAACGTAATTGGAAACGCACTTGGCAACGACAATGAACAACAACAAACGTTGTTGCCTGGGCAGCTGCTGCATTATCCCGTTTAAAGTTGGCAACTCCTTTTTGCCTTTAAAATTAATCCATATAACTAGGCATCGCCTGATCCCTTGAACCCCATCTCATATAGCCGGAGAATTTACCAGGCTGACAGCATACATGCTAAGTCACAGCTTCCTTTGGAGATGTGTTTAAGAATTTTGGCAGGTATTTGTAGATTTCTCTGTAATACATTGGACAAGTGAAAACCATGAAAACCATTTTAGGATCAACTTTTGACAGTGGCGAAAATATTGTTGACTTTTCCGTTAAGTGCAAAGATCTTTGAAGATAAGCTTGAAGCTGAAATATAACTGTGTTTATGCTCATTTTCCGATCTTGGGTCTACATTTTCCATCATCTGTTCAACATACATGAATTTTATGCAGGGTTTTCCCAAATAAAGTTAAAGTCGTTCGGACAAAACTTAAATGTTCACCCTCTAAAACCTCGGGGCCATATATTCCCTCAAAGTAGGGTGTATTTTCTTTCAGGGGTCTTTTAAATATGAGTTTATAGACGAAAGCTCATACTCTGAAACGACTCTAAATCCTTCGTTAACATTAATTGATTAACATTCCGATTAGAATATGCCGACTGCGCAATACTCTGTTCACAGAGAAATAGCTTCTGAAAACAGGTAGGAATAGGTTAGAGACTTCTAAAATGAGACTAAAACTGCAATAAATATTACTTGCTTGATCTTTAAAGGATATCATAGGCACCAAATAAACCTTTTACCCATTAAGAAACCAATACAATGAAAAGTAAATAGTTATTTTCGATAAATAATGGATAAACCTTCTTAAACAATAGCTGTTATTGATCTTTAGCATCCCAATCGATCGTATGTTAACAATTTAATTTCCTTGGAATAATTATGTTAGGGCATTTCAAGTGCGGTGCACTGCGAAATTTCATTGTTAGCCACTTTTGTCGTTCTTGTTAATTGCTTTTTGTTGTTTTTTCGCTTTCTTGGCCCAAAACACTCGCTGATGTTCGCCGCCGTTTGACAACGACAATTGAAAAAGTTATTAAATTTTAGCTTTTTGTCTGCTGTTCCTTATGGTTGAATTTTTACTGTTCTTAATGTTATTGTTGTTGTTGTTCTTGCCAGCAATTAAAAATGCAGTAAAACGGGCCTTACAGTTAGACATAGCAGTTCTTAACTGCACTCTGGTAATTTAGTAATACATTGTATTAAATAATTAACGCTTGGCTGGCATGCTCTAATTGGGATTCAGATTCAGATTCTCAGATGCCTTTAACTTGAACAAAAGACGCACTCAACAATATTTAAAATCAGATATCAGCCAACAGCTATCAACTATCAGCTAACAGCTATCGGGGCTATCGGCTGTCTATCAGCTGACATGTGCTAATGGCTTTTATCTAATCGGAGTAGTAGTCTCTCCGGCTGAGTCACCGCTGCTGCAAAAATCGTAGCCAAGTGCAAATGTGAATAAAGTAGTCGCTCGCTAAGTGGAATACGTCTGTTCCAATTGTGATTCGTATTGGCAGATAATTATATTAATATCGGAATGTCCTTTTTGAATATGCTGCCTGTGTTAGGCATAGAAACTGTCAACTGTAGCTTGATAAAAAAATATAGATATACATTCCTGATTAGCATCAATTTGCGACTCGATATACCAGTGCCTGAGTATCTGTTAGTTCCCATAATAAAAATAGTCTATTTGTTAAGAAACTATCTTAACAAAACTAGGCACAGAGTAATACTTATTTAATATCTGGTATTCCAAATAAATCTTGATAGAATCAGATACAACATATATATATAACTATTGCAATCCATTTTTAAAAATAGTTTATCGTTTAAAAACTATATTTTAAAGACATTTAATTTTAATTTTTTATTTAAATTCTATCTAAAGATTAATAACGAGAAAATTTGTTTAAATTCTATGTATCTACGATACAATAATTTTTAGACCTATTTTAAAAAGAAAACAATTTTTATTTAAAACTTTAAGAACGCTGCTTATAATTTCAATAATTATTATTTCTAAACTTACAACTTCGATCATAAGTTGACTCGACTCTAGTTGACTTGACTTAGCTTGGCGATCGTCAAGCATTTGGCCGGACATGGCCAAGTCGGTTTCCCATGTCGTCGTCCAGTACCTGTGTAGTTGTTGCCTCTCTTTCTTATTGTGTGTTGGGCCTGTGGTGTGTGCCTGTGTGTGTGTGTGTGTAGAACAAACGAAAAGTCGATAAACCAGTTTGTGACTTGGCTCTGTTAAGTGGAATCAAAACAGTTTAGGCACTATTCTGGACAGGGAGAGAGAGAGAGAGAGAGATTCTGTTGGGATTGGGATTTGGGAAGCGTAACAACAGCAACTTCCTCATCGCGTTTTCATTCAATGTTTTTCACGCTGCGCAATTTCAAAAGTCAAACGCGTAGAAAAATATAGTGAGAAAAAAATGTTGATTGACATTTTAATGAAAACGGATTTAATTGGAAAGCCTGCTATGAGCAATGCTACCGAACTGACCTTATATATTATCCATTGCTTCTTGGTCAAGTTGCACTTAGTCAGGGCTTAACGTTCCTTTGTGCCCTCTACATCAAATTTGGGCCAATGTCGCAGACAGGCAAAGACCGCGCGTTAAACGAACACTTAATAAATGATTTATCTATGAGAGGCAGTTAAAGTTAACGTTGTGCGAAGTCGTAATACACAATACAATATGATTCAATAATTGGATATATAATGCTGAACATGTATTTTAATATTTGTTTCAAATATTTCAACTCGTTTTTGCTCTGGAATAAGTCTTAAAAAAGATTGCGGCTGTACTCTGTCTTAATAGGATTTGTAAGCCTCAATAGAGACAATGAGCAGGCGATAGTTAGGAGAGTGGCGAGAGGTGACGCAAGTAAGAAGCTGACTACGAAACTTAGAGGGAGTGTGAGGGAGAGAAAAAGACTGAGAAGAGATCAGACACAATGTGAAAGAGAGCAGTTGAGAGAAATAGTGAGAAGGCGAGGGGAAAAGAGGGCAGCGTGTCAAAAGTAATTCTGCTATAGTTAAGACGCGGTTCCCTAATTTCTTTTAGAAATATCGATCGACAATATCAAACAAAGATCTGTGGAACATATATATATTTTCTAGACAAACTTTGGTAGCTGTAGCTCCGTCAGTAATATTCGCATAGGGCGTACAAATTTTATAGTTGTACTTCATGCCAAATCGCGTGACCCTTCTCAATAAAATGTATGATATGACAATTGAAGGACTTTGATTTTGATTATAAATTTCAATTTTATACTTTTATGTGAATTAAGCAATTCAGTTTGAAGACATGCTCAATACTCAGCAAACTATATGCATTAAGTATATATTAAGTATATATATACATATATATATATATATATAGAGAGAGAGAGAGAGATCTGCAAGTAGATGAGTAGGCCTTTGGCGTAGCTCGAGCTATAACTGGAGGTTGCCGTCGGCTCAAATGGCTGTGTACTTTGCAAAAGTGCCAGCAAAATAATAATAAGAAATGAAAACAAATTAACATTTATTATTGACAGTAACAACCGTTTGGTGTCTGTTTACCTATTTTATTTGTTTATTACTCGTCCGTTTATCGCATTTTACACTTCCTTGTCATAATTTGACTTTGAACTTGACTTTAGCCTGAGGCAGTCTTGCAATTGGAGTTGGAGCTGGAATTGAGCTAAGCCTTGGACTTGAAGTTGATGTTGGAGAATTGGAGAACGTAGCTTGACCTTGACCTTCGGCCGAGCCTAAGGCTTGGCTTCATCTTCAGCGCTGCCTGTCAGCCAAGGTTGGCGAAAACAGAGTCCATTCCTATATATAAATATATATATAC